CTGGCCAGCACCAAGACGGGGCAGGGCCAGCCTCAGAGCTCGGGGGAGCAGGGCAGAGCTGTGGCTCTAATGCACCAAGCTGGGCTGGTCCCAGTGACCGAGCAGAGGCCAGCTTGGGTAGCACCAGAGCAAAGAACAGCAAAGCTGGTGCGTGCCCAGGGCAGCTCTGTGGTGTGGGGAGCAGTGGGACCTCAGAACCTACCTCCAGGGCAGACGGCAGCGGTATATCCACCGGCGCCGCCTGCACTCGCACTCTGCACCGGTCGAGCTCCTCCAGCTCCTCCCCGTAGCTCAGGTCCACCATGTGCTCCTTCATCTCAATGATCATCTGGGCCACTGCAAGCAGTGAGAAACCCCAGCACAGGGGACTGACCGCCTGCTCTGAGCGCACAAAGGAGGGGACATGGGGCAGCCAACACTTTGGGGAGGGGGCAAAATGCCAGGGAAGAACATAGGGCAGGCCCTGAAGCCAGCTGAGCAGGACACGTGGCAGTGCTCTTCTCGCTCTTACCCTCTGCCTTCTCAAAGGTGATGAGAGCTGAGCCCCCCAGCAGAGGGTAGCGGATCAGCGGGGTGAGCATCAGCTTGTTCGTGTCCTCCTTGTTTGTTACAAGCCCCTTAAACACCATTTTCTTCTCTGGCAAGGCAGACAGCATCTAGGTTGGAGTACACAGAGCACCTGGAGGAGACTGGACCCACACAGGGCCTGTCCCTGCCAATCCAGAGACCAGAAACAAGCTCATGGCTCAGAACAAACAGCTGGAGAGTAGAGTCTCTCCTAGGGTCTGGCTAGGCCTAGAGTCCCAAAGCCAAGAGTGGTGCATGTGGCCCCAGCAGAGGAATCACCCACAAGCAGGAGCTATGACAGTCACCACATAGTGCCCAGCTGCTTCCACCTGCAGGCTCTCCAGCCAGGCTCACACCCATTGCCAACAGACTTGAGTGCACAGGCACACTCCGTTACCATCGCTGGATCCTCCCAAAGGACCCTCATCCTCACTTCTTCCAGCTTCTTTTTCAGCACCTGCTTCTCCTGCCTCAGTCTGTTCTCCTCCTCCTTTGCTAAAAAAATGTCCATCTGGAAGGAAAGAAAGAGGGCACAATATGGGAGCCTCCAGGACATGAGAGGCTGCAGCATGCTCTCTGCTTTCAGCATAGCACTGTTCTTGGAAACGGCTCCATCCACACCGTTTTTCCTGCTCTTGACTGCCAGCAGCCCTGCCCTGGCTCCTCGTGTTTGAGTAGAGCACTTCCTTCACCACCCAGCACTAGCTCACTTCGGGGCACAGGCCTGACATCTGGTCAAGCCTGTTTCAGGGCCAGGGCAAAGTGATCTCAGAGCAGTGAGCCAAGTGACACAGCCCCACTACCCACTGCCACCTTTCCAAGCCCAAGATGAGTTCTCCAACCACCAACCTGGCAGGCTTTCTCTTCACCTCTGTTTAAAGACATCTGTTGCTGGAGATTTTTATGAAGAAGTTCTCCCTCTTTCCTCAGCTCTCGTGTCGTTTGCTCTACAGCTTCCTTGGCCATCTGTAGCTTTGCATGGTCTTGCTCCAGAGCACTACAAAGTTTCTGTGAGATGCACCATCAGACAGCGAGACCCTGTGGGTACAGTGCCAGCACCACTGGCTGCCCGACCCCAGCAGACGCTGCTGCTCGGGAAGGAGGCGGGCTGCTCCCCGTGTGGAGCCCCAGACCCGCACACAGGCTCTCTCAACCGGGGATAACCCCTCCCTGCCAGGAAAAGACGAAAACCTGGCCGGGGCGGGTCCCGAGGCACTTTGGAGCCCCCC